TCAAGACCAATGACTTCTTCATCGAAAATACCCTTTTCCCCACCAACATATACAGCGACTATACAAGGGACTTCACCAGATGGACTACAAAGGAAGTAAAGTGACTATAGAAAAGATCAGTGTCAGCAGCCAAAACTAAGCCCAGGGCTGATGATGGAAAAGATGATCAAATGCTCACATGTAAGTTCAGTCTGAAGTTGAAGAAAATGAAAACAAGTCCGCAAGAGCCAAAAATTACCCAAACAAACAAACAACCTTGAGAATATCCCACCTGCATTTCAAGAACATCTCAAGTATGGATTTGAATAATGTAGCACTGATGACAGAAGACTTGAAAATTTGTTGCCTGGACCTCAAGAACAATAGACATGAAGATCGTGAACGGTGACTGAAACATAGAAAATATCAAAGTGGATATCAGAAGGGACTGATATTTGCTGTTGATTGTAGAGGTGTGAAAATATTTGGAAGAAATAAGGAAATACAAAAGCTGAATGGAAATTTCAAAGGGTAGCTCAAGAAGACAAAGTAAAGCACTACCATGAAATACGCAAAAACCCGGAGTTAAAAAACCAGAAAGGAAGAACATGCTCAGTATATCTTAAGCTGAAATAACTAAAGGGGGAAAAATCAAGTCTCTAGCTACATTATTAAAAGCGCCTATGAGCCAAATATCAAACAATGCAAGAAGCATCAAAAGTAGATGGGAAGAATGCGTAGTCACTGTATAAGAAACAAACAGAAAACTAGTCTACATTCAACCACTTCAAGACGTAGCATATGAGCAAGAACCAATGGTACTGAAAGAAGAAGTTCAGGCTGCACTGGAGGCAGTGGCCAAAAAGAAACAAGACTCTGAGACTCGACAGAATACCAACTGAAATATTTCAATAAGTTGATGAAGCACTGGAAGCACTCACTCCTCTATGCCCCCCCCCCAAAAAAAAATAATTGGAAGACAGCTACCTGACCAACTGAATGGAAGAGATCCACATTTTACCCATTCTAATGAATGGTGACCCACAGAATGCAGAACTTCTCAAACAACATTGTTAATATCACATGCAAGTAAAATTTTGCTGAAGATCATTCAACAATGGTTGCAGCAGTACATCAACAGGGAGCTGCCAGAAATTCCAGCCAGATTCAAACGAGGACATGGCACAAGGGATATCATTACAGACTTCAGATGAATCTCAGCTGAAAGCAGAGAATACCAGAGACACGTTTCCTTGTGTTTTATTGTCTACGCTAAGGCATTCAACTGTGTGGATCATAGCAAACTATGGATAATCTTGAGAAGAATGGGAATTCCAGAACATTCCATTGTGCTTATGCAACACCTGTACATGGATGAAGAGGTGGTAATTTAAGCAGAACAAGGGGACACTACTTATTCAATCTGAGTGTTGAGAAAATAATTAGAGAAATTGGACTGCCTGAAGCAGAACTTGCCTTGAGAATTGGAGGGAAAGTTACTAGCAACCTGTGATACACAGATGACACAACCTTGCTTTATAAAAATCAAGAGGACTTGAAGCACTTGCCGATGAAAATCAAGGATTGCAGTCTTAAATTGTAACTGAATGTAAAGAAAGCCCAAATCCTCATAACTGGGCCAATAGATAAGCATCTGAATAAATGGAGAAATGAATGATTATAGCTGCCGTGGATTTCATGTATATTAGTCTAGGTACTTTAGAGAAACAAATCCACAGCAACTCATGTATAAGAGAGTTTTATGTAAAGAAAGTGTGCATCATGAAAACATCCCAACCCAATGCTGCCCAAGCCCACAAGCCCAACATTAACCCATTAACCCAACACCAGTCCACAAAGTCCTCCACCTCACAAAGCAGTGGCAATGATGCCAACTGTAGGAGGAAAGCTGAGTCAGTGAACAAATAAGCATCTCAGCACTGGCAGGGGTCTCCACACGGCTGCTCCAGCACCAGGGCCGCATCGGGATAGATCCATGTGGCTTCTCCTTGGGGATGTCTTGTAGGAAGTCAATCTTGCAAGCTGAAGCAGGGAACTGCTAAGTCAGCTGCACCCTGGTGCGACCATCACAAAGCAAGAGACCCGAGAACTAGAAAGGCGAGGCTCACCACCCATTTATCCCTCCGCCTTTCAATTAGCCCCACATGTGTTTATCGGCCAGGTTGGCACAATTAACTAACTCATCATGTTTGTGGGACCCACAACCAATGCTCATGGAAGCAGCAGTCAAGAGATCCAATGACTTCAAACAGGACCCATACCTCACCCCACATACAAGAAAACCCAGGATGGAGTAAAGACCTACACACAAAACCTGGAACCATTAAGAATCATCAGTGAAAACACAAGACATACTTAAGGGCCTTCATACAAGGTATAAATAACTACCAAACATAATGAAAAGCAGCCACAATACAGAAGACAAAAACGAGGACTGGCACCTTCTAACAACAGAACATTTATGGACATCCAAGGCCTCATCAAGAGAGTAAAAAAGCTACCCACAGATTGGAGAAAATATTTAGCAATGATATATCAGATGAAAGGGTTAATTTTAAAAATCGACATAAAACTACATCTTAATAAGAAAAACACAAGTAACCCTTACAAAAAAATAGGTATGAGACATGAATAGACAACTTGTTAAAGGCATCCAGGCAGGCAACAGTCATATGAGGAAATGCTCGTGTACACTAGCTATAAGGGAAACGCACATTAACACAATGAGATACCACCTCACACTGACAATCAGTAAAAAATTCTAAAATGCTGGAGAGCATGTGATGAGATCGGAACACTCATGCATTGCTTGGTGGTATTGCAGAATTTTAGAGGCATTATGGAAAATAAATGGAAATACAAATACCTTATGATCCTGGAATCTCTCTACTCCTAAAGAAATAAAAAACAAAACATGAACAGATATGTGCACACCCATGTTTATAACAACAAAACTAGTAAACAAAACCAAATTCAATGACTCATTACATTGGGTAAATCTATAATAGCAAAATGATGAATGGTGGAATATGATGTATCCTTAGAAAACGACGAATCTGTCCAACAATTCATGACGTGGACAAAACTGGAGCACATTATGCTTGGCCAACCTATTCCATCTCATAAAGATAAATATTTCGTGACACAATTATTAGAAAGAAAAACAATGTTTTCACTCCAAAGGAAAAGACTCTGAAGATTATACAAGACCAGGGGTGAGGGGGGTGAAGAAGAGAGAGACACGGAGGGAAGGAAGGAGGTTATGTGGGAAAAGAGCAAACAAAGAAAGAAGCACACGCCTGGGTGTTTGCTGGGATACTGCTGCTGTTTTGACGGCATGGTCTGTGTGGGTGTACAGTGAACCCTCGTTTATTGTGGTTAATCGGTTCTAGACCCTACCGTGATAAATGAAATTCCGCGAAGTAGGATTCCTTATTTGTAAATCAAATATTTTCGTAGTTAGAGCATAGAGGACATGAAAAAACACCCTTTAGTCACCATTACACTCGTATTACCCAATTTATTAAACGAAAAAGGGAAAATACAGTAAAACATTTTGGACGTTACAATGATCATTTATTATATTATTTATGGCATCAAGCGTGTACAGTATGAGCCAATCAGTGGCAGTAATGACAGAGCATGCGCTGTTACGCAAAACCGCGATAGAGTGAAGCCGCGGAAGTCGAAGCGCGAAGTGGCGAGGGTTCACTGTATATAGACTGCTTTATTTGTGTGTGTTACATTCCACAAAGAAAAGGGAAACAATAAAAATCCATGACATTCCTTTTTTGTTTTTTAAAGAAAGGTCACAGCCTTACAACCCCTCTGGATGATTGACCCATAGGATCGAACCACTGGTTCGAGTGGTTGTAAAAGGAGGAAACCTAAAACTGAACCTGACTTTAGTTCTTTTGGTGACACAGAAACTGCTTTCAAACAAAAAGGAGTCCAAGGACTCATTGCATCGGGTCAAGCTGCTGTAAGACCGCTTCAGTGTTGATGAGCAAAGATGTCATTTTGAGGACTAAGGCATGCCTGACCCAAGCCATGGCATTTTCAGTCCTCTCCTATGCATGTGAAAACTGGACATCGAATAAGGAAGACTGAAGAATTTTTAAAAAAAGACATTTTATTGGGGACTCTTACAGCTCTTATAACAATCCATACCATTGTATCATGCATATGATATTAGTTTTGTTTAATAATGATTTTTATGCTTTTGTAGCAATTCCTTGCTACTTGCCCTTATATGATAATTATTGTTGCCCTAACAATAGGAGATAAAGAACAGTAAATTTATAAATTTCCTTGAGAATACAGATTGTGTAAAATATTTATAACGGAGTGGTAAAGAGTTTTGGGTCTGTGTCACCCTTTCTGGGTTCGTATCCTGGCACCACAACTCACCAAGCCTCACTTTCCCCGATTCTTGACCTGCCCCCTTGTAATTATAGAATGTAGCTCTAAGGCTGTTGTGAAAATTAAATGAAATAATACTTGTACAACACTGAGAAAAGTGTGTGCGCCCAGTTAAGGGCTCGACAAGCATTGGAGCTCCCGTGGGTTATGCTGTGAGTTGCTAGCCATAAGGTGAGCCTTCAAGTCCACTAGTGACTCCACCAGAGGAAGAGGAGACTCTGCTCCTGTAGAGCTACAGCCTCCCCACCCCACCCCCACTTTTCTGTTGTCTGTCCCCCTGGGAGAGGGTTATATGTAGATCATTGTGATTGATTTCTCCTTTCTCTCCCCGCCTTTCCCTTCCCCTCCTGGTATTGTTACTCTCATTATTGATCCCTGGTGTCAGGAGGCAGTTCTGCTCTGTCCTATAGATTCGCTTTGAGTTGGAATCAACTTGATGGCAGTGAGTGGTGCTCCAAATGCCTCCCTGGGTGTTCCCAACACCTCTGAGGTTGCCCAGCAAATACTTGCGTACAGTGCATTGTGCTCTAATCCAGTTTTTCCAGTAGGCATTCATAGTCTGAATGGTTTTTTTTCAGTGCTAAGGCAAGAGACCTTCGCTGACAAAGAGAAGATGCTGCTGATGCTGAGCAAGATGCTATTTGTTCTAATCCTTTGGCACCAAACATCAGCTTACCAGAGTCCAGGTACCAGCGCATTTTGTATTTACTCTGATTTAGACTAATACAAGGTTTAGGCCTCAACGAACCTTTACTTTAGTAAGCAGAGAGAAAGAAAAGAATTCTGTGAAAAATAAAGGCAGAAAGTCTTCAGGAGTAGTTGAAGGAATATAATATCAAGGAAACAATCTTTCAACGATGACAGGAAGCAGCGTGTTACACCCTATCTGCCAAAGCACCTTGACTTGTTCACTGATTTGCTAAGTCCAAGTGTCCTCCAACTGTAGGTCAGTTTTCATTGTGGCCTTAATTTAAAAAGAGTACAAGGAACCCTACAGAGAAAACAGATGGAAATATCCATATGGCTAAGCCACTGCCTTTCTTTTTGCTTATAAACATGGAGCAGGAAAAGGCTTAATATGTTTTTGTTGTTGTTGTTTGTTTGGGGGTGGTGGATAAGGATATAGGCTGTAAATAATTACTAAAAGCATTCAGCAAATTACTTCGAATTCTACATTGTAGTAACTTAGGATATCATGACAAATTTCTGAGCAACTTGAAAATTACTTCCAGAGGCATTCACCACCAGCACATTACAAATTTCCAGAAAGGGGGTAGTTGACCCTAACTGCTAAACACATGTGGTGCTTCAGATTGCCCAGTCTCCCCATGCAGGCCGATGACCCCATCCCCCAGCTACAGTGAATATTGCCTGCGAGAGCTCACAAGGGCCCCCGGCTTCTTAGGAGAATTTATCTTGTCTGATGGGAGTCACCTTATTCATAACCTTCTGGACTGAAACTCCAGGTTTTGGAGTTGATCTGCCGCCAGTGATTGGATTGATGGCATGTATAAACCTGGCCCTCTTGTCTCAAGTAGGGACAACTGTGGTGCACCTTATGTTCCCGAGGTCCCCTGCAGATGAGGTCAAAGCTAGACTTGCTCAGAGAACATAATCTTCTTTGTCCTACCTTGCTGCTCTTCCACCCCTTTCACTTCAGTGAAGCCCAGACACTCACGTCCCTGCCTTAGGTTCCGCATCTGGGATCCCCAGCCCACCATCGCTTACTCTATATCATTTCCCAAAGACAAGTGTGGGACACTCTGGGGGCGGTGTCATGCTGTCTGTCCTTTAGGACGTCAGCGATTAGAGTGGCAGAACAAGAGGAACAACAGCAATCCCCAAAAAAGTCAGATTGATTCTGGTGTGGAGCTGAGAAAGGAAAACCATCTATTGGCCAACTTGATTGCAGCCTTCTGTTTGACGTTTTAGCAAAACAGGTCGTTTCTCTGGGTAGAAGACACTTCCCTTGCGGTCTTACTCACCAGAACATATTCAAAAATGAGTACTGTCATCTGAAAGGTACAGACTAACCCATAGCCTTGTTTTCTTGCTGTTTGTTTTGCTAGGGCCAGGTCCTGAGTATGCAGATGTCGTTTTTCTGGTGGACAGCTCTGATCACCTGGGAATTAAGTCCTTCCCATTTGTGAGAACGTTCATCAACAAAATGATCAACAGTCTCTCCATAGGCACTAACAAGTACCGGGTGGCCCTGGCCCAGTATAGCGACAGGCTCCACAATGAATTCCAACTGGACACCTTCAAGGGCAAGAACCCCATGTTGAACCACCTCAAGAAGAACTTTAAGTTCCTTGGTGGGTCCCTGCGGATAGGAAACGCCCTCCGAGAGGCTCACAGGACCTATTTCTCCACACCCACCAATGGGCGAGACAAGAAGGATTTTCCCCCCATTTTGGTGGTCCTGGCTTCCGCCGAGTCTGAGGATGATGTGGAAGATGCTGCGAATGCGCTGCGGAACGACGGTGTGCGGATTGTCTCCGTGGGGATGCAGCAAGCTTCAGAGGAAAACCTGAAGGCCATGGCCACGTCTGAGTTTCATTTCCGCCTGCGGATAGTCAGAGACCTCAGCACGTTTTCCCAGAACATGACGCAGATCATCAAGGACGTCACTCAGTTCAAGGACGGAGCCGTTGATGTTGATTTACCAAGTAAGAAAGCCCCTGGTGGAAAAGGCACCCACTCCCCCGATTTCCTTGAATTATCGCTGCCCTTAGTTGCCATGAACTTGCTTCTGACTCATGGTAACATCATGTATAAAGAGTGAAATGGATCCATGGGGTTTTCATGGTTATGGACCTTTGGGGGTGGATTGTCAACCCTGTTACCCAAGGCATCTCTGGGTGGGTTTGATGGCTAACTTTACGCCAGTAGCACAGTTGAGGGCACACTATTTGTGGCACCCAGAGACTCTGGGATTTCCATCCCCGCCACCCCCCACCCCGCCCACACACACCCAAACCTATGCCATCAAATCAATGAGACAATTTTGACTCATAATGATCAGACATAATTATTGATAATGTCGATACGTCATGCTCTTCCTCATCTCTGTCTTTGTGGATTGTGATGTTCTTTCATTCCTTTGCCTTCTTACAGCCTTAATAACTGCTTTCACTATTTTAATCTCAATGCTTAAATTATGGCCTCTTGGCAGGCTTTGCCTCCAAATTTCTCTTTGGAAGTCAGGTCCCAGCACACTGACAACAGTGGCACTTTGTACACTGTCTCACCATCCTGTACTTGTCCTCTCTGCACCACCAATGAACCAGTGGTTCCACCAGGGTGGCATTGGAAACTCGTGTCCACCTCTGTGTTCTTAGTGCCTAGCACAGTGCCTGAAAGCTTCTATTCAGTGAAAATCTCACAAATAAAGAAATAAGACCCTTGTCTGTTCTTCCCTTCCCAGTGTTAGCACAGTGTGGGGTAAAAGGTAAATATTAAGTAGATGCCTACTGATGAATGTATAACTACAGTAGATGAGAACACTGGCCCAAGAATGTGATGCTTTACAGCAGGTCCTCATGATTTGAGTTCGATCAGGCAAAGCGAGGGGTTTCTTCAGTTGTAGAGTAGTGCAGGGTGTGCTGGAGACCGCCTCACGTGGCTCAATTCTTCTCTTCATACATCTCTTAGCCAAATGTTATTCCTTCAAAGAGGACTTCCCCGCTTTCTTCACGTCCCAGGTACATTAGTCCTACCTCATATCCCAAAGTAGTCATTTGATTTAGTTCCCTGTATGATTTTCTTTCTAACACGTATTACAGTCTCAAAGAATATAGGAGCATATTCTTCCACTCAGAGGTAATTCTGCTTACTCATCCCTGAATTCCAACAGTTAAAAGAGTAGTGATGGTGTTAAAGATGGGAAAAGTAAGGGTGATGGCGGGGTTCACAGGAAATGGTCGGAAAATTGGTGAGAAGCATTTTCATGTAGAAGGAACACCATATGAAAAATATAATGAGTCCATATCATCAAGACACTACGAAGCATGTTGATCTTTGATTCCACTCCGCTGGAAGCAAGTAATAGGAGTGACACTTGTTATGACAACCGGTATTTTTAATTACGCCTTTTAACAATCTGTGAAGTACCTGTCTCGCTCTGAGCCAGTGGTTTATCCTCAGCCCCATTCTTTCTTTTTCTCCACAGTTCCGGTGCTCAGCCCCTGTCATAGAGATTCGCTCATGGACCTTGTGCTCCTGGTGGACGAAACATTCAGCAGCAGGCAACAATTAAGGGACTTGCAGAGTTTCCTGGACCAGATCACTGCCTCTATGGATGTGAAAGCCAACTGCATGAGGCTTGGGCTGATGAGCTACAGTGACGGAGCAGAGGTGATCTCTCTTCTGAAATCAAGCACGACCCAGTCTCACTTTCAGCAGCAAATCCAGAAGCTTTCTCTCCGCGCTGGGAAGTCCAACACTGGAGCTGCCATTGAGAAGATGAGGAGAGAAGCCTTTTCAGAGTCCGGCGGCAGCAGAAGAGCCCAGGGAGTCCCCCAAATTGCCGTCCTGTTCACCCACAGACCATCCACTGACCAAGTGAAAGAGGCAGCATTCAGACTCCGCCAAGAGGGCGTAACTGTGTATGCCATGAGCATCCAAGGGGCCGACAATAGCCAGCTAGAAGAGATAGTGTCCTACCCCCCAGAACAGACGATTTCCAAGCTGGATTCCTATGCAGACTTGAAAACTTATAGTCCGAAATTTGTGAAAAAGATCCAGAATAAAGTATGGTCCTATATTTCTACTCGGGCTGAGCAGTTAGACCTGGATAAAGCTGGTATGCTTTTTTCTTTTTTTAAGTGCTTTTCTGGTTATAAAAGTAGTATGAATGACTGGGATGGGGTGGGGGTAAGGATTGACTGCAACAGCATAAGGCAGTGGTCTGTTCTTTGACACTCTGATGTACCACACCAGCTGTCTGTTGTGTTGGGCTGTGCAGACGTATGCAGTACAGTTGGGTAGTTTCTATTTGTTATGATTGTATTCGGCTGTGAATAACAAGAAACAAAAATCGGATTATTTCCTCTGTTTCACAAATAAACCCAGAGGTAGGTAGGCGGGCAGTGTGGTATGTCACAGTATCAGCGATCTTGTCTCTGTGGGGGGTTCTCGTTTTTTTGTTTGCTGTTTGTGACCTTTATTCTCAGGATCCAAGATAACTGTTCCCACCATCACGTTCATGTGCAGAAAAGGAGAGGGACGAATGGGAAGCAAAAGAAGAGCATGACTCCACCTCTTTTCCTTCAAGGGTCCTTCCATGAAATTACTCACCGCCTCTGCTTGCATCTCATTAGCAAGTCCACTGGCGGGTATAGCCATGTGTGCCATGAGTATCCAAAGATCCAAGAAATAAGACATAGCCATTGAGTAGATCCCAATCCATAGGGATCCTACAGGACAGAGTAGAACTCTGGTGAAGTTTCCTAGGTTGTGGTTTTTATGGAAGCCGACTGCCACGTCTTTCTTCTGTGGAGCAGCTGGTGGGTTGAAACCACCGCTCACTAGGTCAGTAATCAGGCGGTTAACTGTGGCACCAAGGGTCAAAAAGACCCAGTTGACACTTTCCGTTAGGAAAAATGGGAGCTCGGGAATTAAATTGGCTTTTATTGGGGGCAGCCAAGTATTTAGATGAAAAATGAGGACTCACTTGGTGTCAAAGGCGAGAACAGACATGGAAGACAACTGGTTTTGTCTTCCTACCTGCTTCTGTATTAACCATGAATCACAAACCTTTGTCAATTTCTTTAAATATTTTTTACAGCATTTAAAAAACCATTTAAAATTGTAAATTAGGAGGGGGGTTACATTTAGGATCATCAATTTTGTATTTAACATTTTAAGTTACTAGTCAATGCTTCTCTCTGACCCCTGCCCCCGCACCTCCCTCCCACCCGGACACACACACACACACACACACACACACACACACACCCACACATCAGGCAGGACAATAATTTTCTTTTCCTCTGGTCCTTGATTTCTCCAGATTACAGTTCCAAATGCTTGGAAGTGTTTTACACTATCTTC